ATCAACCAAAAAGTGAAAATTGATTTTTTGACACCTAAGCCCCCTTTCCGTAGACCAGGTCACATATACTAACTATATATTCAATGCCATGAATTCTGGTGCCTGTGTCCATGGTGTCTATACTGATTTCAGTAAGGCCTTTGATTGCTTCGACCATAACATTTTACTGAATAAATTGAGAAACTATGGAGTCAGCGGAAATGCTCCTAACTGGCTAAGCTCGTACCTTATAGGCAGACACTTGCAAGTCAGAGTTGATGGACATCTATCTTGTAATTATAAGGTTAGGTCTGGTGTTCCTCAGGGCTCTCACCTCGGCCCTATCTTGTTCAACATTTTCGTCAATGATATCGGTTGTGGTTTCAAATCAGAATACCTGTTGTATGTGGATGATCTGAAAATATTCAGATCCATAAAAAGTACGTTGGACTCTCATCTTTTACAGCATGACATCGACAAGCTCTCTGACTGGTGCTCCAAAAATAAGCTCGATCTCAATCTCAGTAAATGTGCAGTTATCTCCTTCTCACGCTCGCATACCCCATTACATGCAGACTACAATCTAAACGGGGCAAAAATAAGGGTGGTCGATGACATCAAGGATCTAGGCGTCATCCTGGATAATAAACTAAGCTTTTCCAAACACATCGACAAGATCACATGTCAGGCTCTCAAAGTATTTGGCTTTATCTCTAGAAGCAGCAAGGATTTTTCCAACCCTTACTCATTGATCAAACTATTCTCATCCCTGGTACTGCCTATCGTAGAATATGGCAGTGTGATCTGGTCGCCGCACACTGATAGTTCAATCACTCGTGTCGAAAAAGTACAACGTAAGTTGTGCAAAACCCTGGCTTTCCGCAATACCTCACTAAGTTACGCACGCACCACAGAAGATATGTACAAACTTTACCGAATCAAAAGCCTGTCAGATAGACGAAAGATTGCGGATTTGACCTTCTTCTACAAGGTGGTAAATGGTATCATCGATACACAGCTGCTTCGAATTAGCACCATCTGGATTAACCCTTAGACGAAGTCGATTACTGAAAACAACTACGTTTAACAAAAACTATATGATCCATTGCCCACGAAATAGGATAGTCAACCTTGTAAACTCGCTACATATAGATTTAGATTTCTATGGAGGCACATACAGCGCTTTTATCCGTAACATCAAAAATCATATTTTCTCTTAACAAAAATAAATAAATTTATTGATACACATGTCTGTGCTACGAAATATTGTAAACTCTCTTCATATTTACTTAGTGTTTTCATGCTCTATGTAATTTTATACCGTTTATGTATAATGCCGTTTGGCGTATGATTAATAATAAATAAATATTAAAGCCTACATTTAGGAGGCATTTCCGCCCCAACCATGTACATGTACGGCATTAGTGTTGGTGTCACTTTTGAATTGAGTTTTTCGCTTTATGTTAAACCGATTTGAAATTTGAAAAATTGTCTGCACATCAGCAACAAAATACCTTTCTAATGATACATAATTGTTTATACCCTTAAGGTATAGTTTAGCCATAAAAGGGGTGTAAAGAAAACATGAGTGTCTATTTGTATATAAGATAAGATACCAAAAACCAAAAAACTTATTTAAACATCATTATATTGCAATATAATCGAGGTCTTCATCAAAAGTGGTAAACTGATTTAATAATCATTTTATCTCGTTTATCGGAAGTTTATGAATTTATATGAACGCCGCTATTATTTTATATTTCATTATATAAGATTAAAAATCTTGTTTATTTTGGTTCACTTTGTGCCAAATGATGTCATTGATGCCACATCAAGTGATATATAGTGTTTTGATGTGGCGTTTTATGTCAAGCTTCTCGATTTTTGGGGTGCGTATTATTGGTGCATTGCAGGCAAATTTTGCAGCTTCATCGGCGTAGGTGTTACCATCAATTTCTGCGTGTCCTGGGACCCATAGGAGCTTAAGTGTTTTCTTGTTATTTATTAATAAATTTCTGATTTGATTAACTGTTTCCCAATTGTTACAGATTGGATTTCTAACTGCTTGTAGCACCGATAGACTGTGAGCATATCACGGTTTTTGTTTTTTTGTGAAGGGAAAAACTATGGGAGCATTGATTTCATGCTGATACAGGAGCCTGTTTCAGATATTATACTGAAAGCAACGCTATTTTGTGTTTTAGACCCGCTTTTTTTTGTATGTATTCCCCTTTTCGAGGAAGATTTGTTTGTATATTGAATTTGGGGTGTTATCTTTTTTGTGAGTGTGCAGTGTTATATAGCAAGATTGGCTGTCAAGAGTCCACGGTGGGGAGTAACTACTTAGACTATGTGGTTTTTCCTCCAAGTTGTATTTGCTGCATAGTTTGATAATTCGGTGCAGTGAAGGAGTAACGGTGAATGTTCGTTTGGATAGTACCAGTTTTTTTTACGTCTTCGGTTATTACTGATGTATTTAAAAATAAAACTTTTGGTATTAAGCTACTGTTGACGTTCTGCCAAGTTCAATAAAAAGGTTATTTGTCGGGGTGGTGCGAAATACGAACAAGCTGGTTCTGATTGCCTTGTGGTACACTGGTTTTATAATTTTTAGAGTTGTTTTCGGAGCGGATCCGTATAAGCAAAGTCCGTAAGGGATGTTTTTTTTTTTTGGTTTTAAAAGATGACGTTTCCAGGTGTAGTTTTTCGTGATAAGTAGTCGCAATTCATCGACATTCAGGACAGTTTGTTGCTTAAATACTATTGAGTGACTATTGGAATCGCATCTTAGTTTTTTGCAAATATGGAGTTTTTTTGTTTTTTCGAGGGAAACTTTCGCACCTGATCTTAACGTCCAGTCATCAATTTCTTTCAGAACATTTTCTAAAATTTTGTTTGATTCGCATTTATTTCGTTAAACGCGATTGAAGAGAGGGGTACTGAAAGCGTCTGCAGTGGTTAACAAGTTTGTGTTTCTGTATTATTTCGTTAAGCGCGATTGAAGAGAGGAGTACTGAAAGCGGTGATCCTTGAGGAATACCATCCGTTAAAGGATATAATTTGGAGTAAATACCGTTTACCCTGACCCGGATTTTTCTATTGTGGAAGAATGATTTTACAAAATTGAAGATCTTGGGTCCCCATTGATGTAGTTTCTCTAGAATGACGTGAGCTCCTATCCTATCAAACGCTTTTTCGAAGTATGTGACAATAACCACATTTGTGGGCTGATAGCGTTTTTGCCATATTGTAGTCGATGTGTAGCAGGGCCTCTGTTCATCCTCTTCCTGTTCGAAAACCGACCTGGTTGGATGAGATAAGCCTTTTTGACTCTGTAAACCAGACTAGACGTGTCGCGACTATCTTCTCTACTAACTTCGACAGGCACGAAAATAGCGAGATGAGTCTGTAGGATTCGGGAAGGTTGAGGTCCTTCTGAGGTTTTCGGAAAGGGGGCCGCTTTCCAGTTTTGGGGAATAGTGCCTGATTGAAAAATATTATTGTACTGCGCCAAAAGTCTCGTTTTCGTGGATGAGTCCAGAGTTTAATCATGCTGTACGAGATGCGATCAAAACCTGGTGTTTTCCCTTTAGTACTTTTTAGGGTGTAGTACATTTCGTCCATGGAGATATGCGTTTCCATTTTCATTGCTGTTGGATTGGTTGCTTGGTTAGGCGCTATATTTGCTTTTTTAGCTTGGTTGAATTGATCAGAAAAATGGTTGTCGTTCGAGCATTGAGACCAGTTGTGAGCAAAGAGGTGGGCTATTCTTTGCGTTTCAGTGGTTGTCCCTTGTGGTGTTTGAAATGCTGCTATTGACGTTTGTGTATATCGATTTGTTAGCCTCTGCCCTTTGTTATATAATTCTTGCGATGATGAGCTTATGTTTATGCTTTTTGCAAAATCTTCGAAGCTAGATTTTCTGGTTTGCTTCATTTCTCTGCGGGAGATAGCATTGCGCTTTTTGTATTCGAGAAGATTCTGTTCTGTTGGAGATTTACGAAAAAGATGCCATGCTGTCATTTGTTGGTTGCGGAGCTCTGCTAAAGTCTGGTTCCACCAGGGGACATGGGTTCTGGTGTTCTGAGAGGATTGTGGGATCCCAAGGTTGGCTGCTACACGAATTGCCTTTGTAATATTATTTGCTTCCTGATTAATGGTTACAGAAATCGGTCTCTCCGAAAGTTCCTCTTCGGCGGATTGACTGAATTTGAATTGAGTAGAAATTTACTTTCGGTATGGTGTTTTTTGGTGTTGTGACCAAATCGGGAAATGGTCACTGTGATAGAGATCCTCTGAGATATTCCATTTGATAATCGGAAGCAAGCTAGCTGAGCAGCATGTGAGGTCTATTAGGGTGAGCGTCCCTTGAGTTGAAAGGTGGGTTGGTCTACCGTCGTTTATTAAGAAAAGGTTCGTTTGGTTAAATATGTGTTCTATTAGTTTGCCTCGATTGTTGTATGGTTGGGGAACCCCACAATGGATTCCAGCCGTTAAAATCTCCTAAGTCGATTAATGGTGTTTGTATTGAGGCGGCTAGTATATCAATTATTTGTTTGGTAGGAAGCTGTAAGTTCGATGGAAAATAGCATGATATTATTGTAAATTTTATATTAAGGTTGACCTTGATCGCTACTATTTGTAGGACGGCGTTTAATGAAATTGTTTTGTGGGGAATATTAGCTTTATCAAGCACCCTTATTCCTTGTTTGGCTGTTGTAATTGTTGACGAGTTTTGAAAATAGCTTAAGTATCCTTTTGGGGTAAATGGGTTAAAGTTGTGTTTGCAATGTGTTTCTTGCGGTGAAATGAACGCTGTACTTTTTTCTTTTATCAATAGCTTTAATTCAGATATGTTATTAAAGAAACCTTTTATGTTCCATTGCCATTATTTTAAAATCCTTAATCGTTGGTATGTATGTATGTATGTATATTGTTGATTTATTGTAAATTATTATATACACCCCTATTGCGAGTGTCGACTGGCAGTAGATAAACGACTATTAAGCGATTGTCGATTATCGATGCTATTGTGAGTGTCGCTTAGTCGCTCAATGAGCGACTGTGAATAGTTTTTAATCGCTTATCCTTCTACTGCTATTTTTGAGTCGATAGAGTTTGCGTGAGCAAAATTTTCGTGATATAAATAAATAAATAATGGATAAAAAGTAAGTTATTTTCATCAAAAGCTGTACAAAAATTTACTATACATATGTGTGTGAATTGTAGATCAAAAGTGGTTAGCAATAAGAAGCAACTTGGGCGGCTGGTCCAGCTGATGCAGGACAATCAGGACTTGGCGAAAGGAATTTGCGGCAGGACTCGGGGAAAGCCCAGATGGGAAGCCATAGCCGTAGAGCTGAACAGCTTGGGACCACCACTACGTTCATGGGAAAAGTGGTTAAAGGTGAAATAAATACATATTAAGCTTTAATTAATAAAATAATCGGGTATATTTTATGTAGGTTTGGACAGATTTGAAGAGCAAGACGAAAAAGAAAATTTCGGAAAACAGGGCAGAATTTCGTGCAACTGGTGGGGGCCCAAACAGTCTGCACATTCTCACGCCACTGGAGGAAGGGGTGGCAAGTTTTTTAAGGTACTATATTTGTTCGGACCCACCAGGCCAAGAAATCGGACACAATGCAATTGTTCAATCGGAGGAAATCCCAGAGGAGCAGGTAGCTTGTGGTAGTGATTACATCACAATATCTGGGGAAGATTGTGAAATGCGTGAAACCCAGGATACCGAAATTTCTGAAGTGCATCGTACTCCAAGAAGAAGAAAAGTTGCCAATTCTACTGCAAATGATAGGAGAATTGCATTACTAGAAACGCAAGTAAACAACCACGCGAAGCATTTTGAGGCAATGGAAGAAAGTGCAAATAATGTAAAAAAGAGCCTGAAGTACATAGAAAGTTCTGTAAGGAAGTCATACAACCTTTAAAAAGAAAATCTGGCTATAGAGAAAGAGAAACTAGAATTAAAAAAACAAAAACGAATGCTTCTTAAAGAAGAGGTTGGAAATAAAAACGGACATAGAAGTGAGAAACTCAAACTAAATGTTCAACTATTGCAGCTGCAAAAAGAAAACGTTTCCTCGTTAATTTTGTAAGTATACATTTAAGACTTAAAGGCAAACTTTGTGATTTTAAATTTAACTGAAACGGTAACATACAGTCTTTTGCAAAAGTATGCAACAAAATTCTACTTAATTTATTTTGTCATCTAATTTTACTGATTTATTTTTAATTATTTTTTTATAAAACTAAAGTTCTTTTTATATCAGGTTTTTGCCTATCATAAACTATACAAATCAAAGTTTCTAACTTTGTACAAACCTCACAACATTTGATATGAAAAAATATTAAAATTTCCAAATTTTTACCAGAATTTTTAATAACTTTTTGGGTATTCAGTTTTGAAGACACTTCAAACTTGCACTTTATTATTGTAAAATTAAATATGCTACAAAACTGAATACCTAAATAGTTTTTAAAAAGCGTGATAAAAGGTTTGAAATTTTGATGAACTTTTTTTAAATTTATTAAATGTTATGAGTTTTGTACAAAGTTGCAAACTTTTATTTGTATAGTTTATCATATAGAACAGCCTGATATAAAATGAACTTTAGTTTTATAAAAAATAATTAAAAATAAATCAGTAAAAGTAGATGGCAAAATAAATTAAGTACAATTTCGTTGCTTACTTTTGCACAACAAGGTATTTTATCATTTCAACTAAATTTAAAAAAAAATACCACGTTTGGGTTCAATTTTTAAGTAATACTTACTATAGTTTTTAAAAAGTATTTTGCAATGACTGAATTTAATTGAAGATGAAATGATTTTTTATAATGTGAAATATTATTTACTATTTACTTTAAATATATATGTACTTAAAAGTACTTAGCTTTTACCTTAAAAATGAAAATACATATGTATGAATGTATATGAATGTATTTATGTGTTGGACTTATACTAATATGTGAGCATATCAGGGGTGAAAAATATATGTTATATATAATATACTTATTTGTAATACAGGACGGATATATGTATATGTATGGTGCCGGACGAATTAATAGGGTCGCGACGTTTTGACAAGTTTTGACCATTTTGTTTTGTTTGTTTAATGTTTATTAACTTTTTATAAAATTATAGTATATATGTAACAAAAACTATATAAATCCTAATTTCAGACTTTGTGCAAAAATTATAAAAACTGCGGTTACATCGAAATTTCAAACTTTATCAGAAATAAAAAAAAGTATTTGAATTAATTTTTGGAGCCCATTAAATCTTAGTATAATAAACGGCAATTTTTAAGTTTAAACTTGCACGTTATTGTATTAAAATTTAATGGGCTACAAAAAATAATTTAAATACTATTTTTATTTCTGATAAAGTTTGAAATTTCGGTGAAACTGCAGTTTTTATAATTTTTTCACAAAGTCTGATATTAGGATTTATATAGTTTTTGTTACATATATACTATACTTTTATAAAAAGTTAATTAACATTAAACAAACAAAAAAAATAGTCAAAACTTGTCAAAATGTCGCGATCCTATTAATTTGTACACATGAGGCTATTTTTTTTTAACAATGGCCAAATTTAGTTGAAAATGAAGATTTTTTGTTTATGTTTACGATTATTCTTTAAGTAGTAGGTATTTATCAATATTCAATTTTTAACATTTTATGTTACATTAATTTTCATTTAAACTTGAATTACCTGAATTATAACAAATTAATAAAACTTAAAAAAACTGTGCTTCGATGAATACGTACAAACAATAAAAAAAAGATTTAAGACTGAAGTCGCATATGTTGTAAAATGTTATTTCTTATTTCTACGGCTTCTTGATTTATATGGCCAGCTTGAACATTGATGTCACCTTGATCTTCATAGTTTTCTGGGTCTTGGCTATCATAAATTTCTTCATTCGAAGACTCAACATTGTAAAAAATGCATATATTGTGCAGTGCTACGCAAACGTTTATTATTTGGGTGGCTTTCTTTGGCTCATAGTGCAGCGCACGAGCACCTAACAAACACCTAAACCGATTTTTGAACACCCCAATCGTGCATTCCACAATATTCCTAGCTTTTGCATGCCTTTTGTGAAATATACCCTGCACTGATCCGTCATCGGTGTTCCGGAATGGAGTAAGCATATACGGCTGTAAAGCATATCCTGCGTCACCTGAAAATTATATACAAATTTGTGTAAAAGCCATCGAAATGTCCAATAAATTTGATAATAACAAACCTAATAATAAATTCCTTTCACCCCTGCGGTAGTCATCTTCTAATTGGGGTTTTAAAGAAGACATATTGAAAACCGTAGCATCGTGCGTTGCCCCAGGATATCTTGCATTGATGTAACGAATCCTCAGAGCGTTATCACAGACCTGTAAATGAACATATTTAAATAATACTTTCATTTAATATTTTACCTAAATACTTACTATCATCGCGTTTAAGCTAAAGTACCCTTGCCGGTTATAGTAAAGGTGTTGAAGATCCTTTTTTGGGGCAACGATTTTAATATGTGTCCCATCAATGCAACCTATTACGCCTGGAATTCCACTTTTCTCAAAAAAATACATTTTCGCCTTTCGTTTCTCTTCATCAGTGTAATTCATTTTTATCCAATTTTTACACACGTGCTCTTCCAAAGCATGGAACATTTCTGTCAAAACCAGGGAAACAGTAGATTGGCCAGGTCCAATATTACTATCGTGGGGTATCGAGGTTTTTCTTACACCAGCTTGTAGTTTGCTTTCCTATGTTTCAAGCAAATATGTAAATGCAGCTTTCGGCAAACGATAATTTTTCAAAAACCTGTAAAGTTGGTTGTTTAGTAAATTTTCTTGGGAAATGTTTAGTTATTTGTACTATGATTTTGTGGCGTGCAGGGAAGGGGAAGGGGTGTGGCACCTAAAACCCCATCCATTAGAAAGAGCACAATCCAAACTATAAGACAAGTCATCCTTCCCCTCTCTGACCCTTCTACAGACCCCGGGCCCATTTCTAAATGGTGTAAAATTAGCACTTCGACATAGAAAATGTAAACTCACTGACCACAGTATTTTTGCGCAGAACTTCTTTCTACTTAGGCGTTTACGGATTATAACCTTTAATAAGTAGAATTCTCCTTTCTGTCTTCCCAGAGAAGAGGGGCGGAAGCTCCGCTTCTATTGTGAAAGATATTCAACATTTCTTGTGCATATAACTCCGGCTACGCCATCCACAGTGTTTTTGCGCAGAACTAACATCAAAATTTACGAAAAACTGCATAATTTGTTAATATACTAAGGGCCGTTTTCTCAAGTAACCTGTATCTTTAAAGCTCACTTTATATTTAAAGGTTGCATTAAAATTTATGATGGTGCCTAAAGTTAAGCATTTTATTATCGGTTTTAAATTGGTTTACAACCAAGAAACATACATACGTAAAATACCGATAATAGCAATGCTTAACTTTGGACATAGCTTTATTTTTAATCCAGCCTTTAAATATAAAGTGAGCTTTAAAGTTAAAGGTTACTTCAGAAAACGGCCCTAATACTCAGAAATTTGAAATCTTTATTTTAAATTAAAGTTTAATTCTTTCACTACACGCGTATGTTAAAGTTTTTAAATCGGGTCACGCGTTTGGACACAAATACTAAAAATCATTGTACAAATAACTTAACTGTACCGAATTGCTTAAACTAGTTGCGTTCCAGATGCTTCACGATTTGCGGGTTTTTACAGGAAGTTGTTCCACGGGGCCACCTTCCATAAGGTTTATTAATGGCGAAAATAGCTTTTCCTGCAAATCGTGAAGCATCTGGAACGCAACTGCTATTCATAAAATTCACATATGTATGTACATACACTTCATCATCCAACTCCAAGGGATTCGACGAATCTCGCAATTTCCTTCTTGCTTTAGCCAACTCTACTAATCTATTGCCTTTCACATCATCTTCCTCATCACTAAACCATATTTCAACTGTATCAATTTTTTTAATTTTATAATAAAGCAATTGTTTTAAAAATGATATAAATGAAACACTAAAGAAACAAATGTAAACAAACAAACAGCTATTTACAATTTGGTCAACCATTCACAATAGTACAAATTTTTATCGATCAAGTTACACAATAGCAAAATAAAAGATGATCGACTCAATCGACAAATTTCTATTCTACTGCCAGTCGACACTCGCAATAGGGGTGATATAATATAGTATATTAGTATTTTATAGTTTGGGTCCTTCGTCCGAGTCGGATATTGGCATGAAATATTCGTGTTTGTTTAATAATTCTTGAGTAAGTGTAGTGCATGGTGAGATAGTAGATATGTTGTCAAGTATAGTTTTGGTTTGCTGGGATATGTGATGAGATGAATTGTGTTGTTGGTTATAGCTTACGTTTTGTGTGAGTGATTTTGTTGTTGTTTTGTTACTAGTATTGTTTAAGCTATTGCTTGGAGTGGTTTTTTGTAGTTTTGGTAGATTAGTTTTTATTGGCGGAGATGTAGCCGGACGTTTAGCCATGGATGTGCTTGTTGTTGTTTTGTTACTAGTATTGTTTAAGCTATTGCTTGGAGTGGTTTTTTGTAGTTTTGGTAGATTAGTTGTTGGGGTTGGTGTCTTGTTGATGGATGTTGATTTACCTGTTATGGGGACGTTTGCATAGGTGCTTTTGGAGTTTGCATTTAGAGTGTTATTTTCATTATATTTGCGTCGTGCTCTCCCATGGAGCATTTCGCGACAGTTTTAATTTTTGGGATTTCCTGAGTTTGCCTAAATCTTAGACAGTCTTTATCTGAGGCGGCGTGATCGCTGCCACAGTTTGCGCATTGCTTACGTGTGGCAGGATTGGTGCAGCGTGTTTTCGTATGCCCTAGTAGCTGACAGTTTTTGCAGCGCATGGGTGTTGGATAATATGGCGAAACTTTGACTTTGTACCAAGCAATATCAATGGCTTTGGGTAGGTGATAGAGGTCAAAAGATAGGACAATTTTGCCAGTGGGAACAACTTTGCCCTCAGTCATGCGAGTAAATTTGTATATGCTCGTTACACCTTGGCTTTTTAGTTCCTTCATAATTTCGTCCTCGTATACAAAGTTCAGGCAAGGCGCATAGATTACTCCTTTTACCGTGTTTAAATTGTCTTGGTATTTTACCATGACTGGACAAAGATTAGCAATCGTTTTTAGTTTTAAGAATTTCTCTGCTATTCTTGAGTTTCGTGTTAGTATGAGTAGTGATCCGTCTTTGAGTTGTTTTATGTTTTCAATTTCGGTTGAAATTGCGTCTATTGCTTTTTTGGGCTGGGCTGAGCGGTTACGTAGACCCGACTGTCTTGGGAACGAAAGTGGTTTGTGTGTAAAGATCTCCTGATGCGAAGGTGCACAAAAGCGAAAATATGACAGCGGGTTATTAGTATTGTTATTTTGCGAGCTAATAATACTTGTATGAACACACGTCCGAATAAGTTAAGAGTTAGTCGATGACTGTGGTGCTTTATATGATAGCCCACCCGAGTGAAAAGTTACTAAGTCCACTTCTTTTATTTTGCAGTTATTTTCTTCAAGCCTTTTACAAAACTTTTAATTCAGCATTTTGCTTATTGAAGGCAAAGCGAAACTCGATATGAATCAGAATGATTGGATGTTAATTAAACGGATTCATGCGCCTCTTTGGACATAGAAAATGTGTCTTCCATTGAATATTAACGGCAAGAAATAAAACAGATACCTTTATCCGTTAGGAAAAATGCATTTGTTTTTCTCTTGCTTCTTATATCGAAATATGAACTTCTGATTCACACTGTGCACATCTTCGAATTTTTTTTCATTTGTAGACAGCGCAGCCAACCAGAGCATGTTAGATGAAGCGCCAAACAACAATGGTGGTGGTGTCTCTAATAATGTAGCAATGGATTCTACTGTTAAGCGTGAACGTGATTGCCCTACAAACTCCACATCCGCGTCCACATCTATGATGCGACAAAATTCCAATGGTAGCGTTAAGTCGTGTACTAATACCGGTAATGCTTCCTCGCCCAATAATGGCAGTGATCATTCGGATAGCAGCAATATTTCATCAAGTATAACAAAAGCAATAGATAGTACATCCGATATCCTACAGGACCAAAATAATCCGGATAAAGTTGGAAATAAAAAGAAAACAAGCCTGAATAGTTTAACTGTAAAAGAAGAAGAAAATGGTATGTGGAGTTATTTGTTAGTTAAAAATTTTTGTATTGCTATCTGCTCAACACTCCATTTTACTAAAATCTGTATTCAACTATCTTTGTTACAGGTGTGAAGTCGTTAGATAAAAGTACTAATCTCCTTACGGCACCTTCAAGTAAGAATTTGCTTTGCACAACACCGACGATCAATTCTTTGTCTATTGTGAAAGACGAAACTGATGTTATGAATAATCTAATTAAAGTTAAAAAAGAAGAGGGCAACGTTTCACCAGAAATGTCACCGGCCGGTTTCGGTTCAATTGCAAACTTATCTGGCAGTAGCTCAGTGGAGGTGCGTTCCTGCACACCAGGTAAATTATTCACATTGAACTAGAGTGGTTTACAATTTTCTATTCTTTGACTAAATCTTTTCAAAATATTTCACAGTGAAACTGGATGATGTATCAAACACGAAGGCTATTAATAATAGTAATAATAATGGTACGAATTCGAATAGTAACAACGATAAACTAGCATCTGTATTAAGTTCTATAAATAACAATGGTCCCAGCGGATGTGCGGAAGATGTCCCTGTCCCGGTTTCTTCTCTTGCTAATGTATCTGGTGATGCTTGTATTGGCGGTACACATCATCCATCAGCGAATATGATAAATAACAGCAGTAATTCTGGTGGCTCAATTGCCAACTGCATGGAATATATGCAGCAGCAAAATCATATTTTTGTTTTTTCCACACAGTTAGCAAATAAGGGTGCCGAGTCGGTTTTAAGCGGACAGTTTCCAACAATAATAGCATACCACTGTACACAGCCGGCAACAAAAAACTTTCTTGAAGACTTCTTTATGAAAAATCCAATGAAAATATCTAAGCTACAGCGTCAAAATACGCTTAACTTATGTAACATATCAGTAGGTGCTGGCGGTCAGCAATGGATTGGTGGCTGCAATTCAGTACCAAAAATGTCACAGAAGCCCAATGGTAACAAAATTAACTTCACCGGCCTAAGTGGAAGTTTGGATAGTAAAGCATCTTTGCGGCAACCTAATATCACCAGCTTTCCCGATGTACCCGAAGCACTGGGTGGTAGTGAAAACGACTTAATGTGTTGGGAGCAATCTCGAAATAGTCTGGAAGGCGCTGCAAATGAAGGTCAAACTGGCATGAAAATACCTAACGGTGTAGACGGCATCATTGGAGGATCTCATGTTACTGGGGGATCTCATGCTGTTGGCAATAAGCCCCTTGGTGCACCCGATACAAACGTTGCAAACGATAATGGGACGCCATCATTGCAAGGCATCAAAGTGCCTGATGAGAATCTAACGCCACAACAACGACAGCATCGAGAAGAGCAGTTGGCAAAATTAAAGCAAATAGATCAATTTTTATCTAATCCACTACAGGGTACAAATCAGTTAAGCAAATTGGGTGCAGACAGTGTGCCGGGAAATCTTGCTGGCCTAATGCTAAATTTACCTAATTCAAGCCCAGCTGGCATGGTGTCGCAGATGATTAACCCGCTGAATCCGAATATGCGTAACATGCCGCCACAT